ACCTAAAACTACCTCGGGTACATATCTGTAGTACCTGTTACGACAACGACCCTTCGTGCGCTATTATACGCTTGTATGCTATGCCCGCTGTATAACGCTAGTGTGGAATAGTAATGTTTACATCATGCTAGCAGTGAGACCAGTGAGAATCAGGGTGCCTGAGCCCGCTCAGATCGCGCGCACTCGCTCTATGCGCACTGGCTCAGATGCGCTGCTGTATAAAATTTGGGCCTCCAACAATGCATTTGGGCCAGTGACTAAAAAAATTTACTCGCCCCAAAAATATTGGGCTTCAGCTTGGCCTTCGGCTGGCCCTCATTTCAGACACTGAAATGGCAACTAGCAGAGAAGGTTTCAATGTGGGCCCTTTTCTGATATATTTACTCATAATTACACATATAACATATATAACCTCTTAAAAATTAATTAGTCTTTAAAGTCTCAAGGATTATATCGAGGACAGAGAGAGACAAGGTTGATCAAATAGACAGACCAACACTGCGCCTGTGGATTGTTGTAGAAAAAACTTCAATTTTGCAATTAACAAAAGAGGAATGAATATAGGAAGGAAAGTGTATTTGCGCCGAACTTTTCTTCAGGTGGTTATGTCAGTGATATTTGATAAGTGCCCAATGAAGTCTGTATTTGTAGCATTTGACCACCCATCGACCCGAGTGTGGTTATTGCTTTCGACATGTGCCATCTTCGAAGATCCCTTTACTTTAGCTTCTTATATTAATTGTTCTTTTCTTCCATCCCATATTGGGTTTGGAATTCTACTGTAGGCTTTATTACTATTACTATTAGTATTATACTATTACCATAGATACAGAATACCGTACCAGATCTGTATTCAGAAATCAAAATCAGAATCTGCATTCTATAAGGCCTAATGACTATATAGGATTATGTATGTGGATCACAATGTACGTGGATGACACCCTGTCACTGATGCTGATAGAGTCTATGTCCCCCAGGGTACTGCCGGAACGTACCCTGGTAACTATCTAGCTGATATGGTTAGGGTTAGAGTTAGGGTTAGGGTTATGGTTAGGGTTAGGGTTAGGGAGTAGGCGTAGGCCGCTACTAGGCAACTCCCTAGACTCGTTAGTGGAGTAGGCGAGGTACGGTCCAGCATATTAGATAGTACTACTACTAGTAGTATTTAGTACCAGGGTACGTTCCGGTATACCAGACCGTAACCAGGGTACGTTCCGGTATACCGGACCATACTCAGGGTACGTTCCGGCAGTAACCTGAGGGACATAGACCCTATCAGCGTCACTGATACAGCCTAATGAGTAAGGATAATCACTAATCATAAATCAGTAATTATCTAGCTAGTGAATTTAATAATCACAGTGGCTATATGCCCGGCAGCCGGCGTATATCTGACGGCTGCCGGGCACGGTCTTCGATTTCCTAAATGCCCGGCAGTTTTTAATTTCGCTGTGGCTATATGCCCGGCAGCCGGGCACGGTCTTCGTTTTCCTAAACGCTGTGGCTATATGCCCGGCAGCCGGGCACGGTCTTCGTTTTCCTAAATGCCCGGCAGTTCTTATAGACGTGGCGACGGGTACTTATATTTACTTAACGAAAAAAACAGTACAGGTTATTATTATCATGACCGTAATGAGTAATTATTATTATTAAAATTCACTAGCTAGATTACTGATTTATTGATTAGCTGATTATCCTTACTCATTCTAGGCTGTATCAGTGACGCTGATAGCGGTCTATGTCCCTCAGGTTAACTGCCGGAACTACCCTGAGTAATGGTCCGTATTACCGGTGTCACGGTCTGAGAATTAGCCCCAGTCTGCAAATTACCCGTAATAGCTACTGCGCATGTCGCCACGCATTAAGCGCCACGAGCGTGCTGGGAATGTAAGACGCGCAGTTAGCAAAATTGCATTTGGTTAACTTGCAACGACTGCCCACCGGTCACAGCCAGTCAGCGTATTAACGCCTTTGTTTTAGCAAAGTTGTTTGTATTAGCCATTTTTCCATTAAAATACGGACAGAAGCAGTTTAGTTATTGCCTGCTCTCTCCAACAGGAAGTGACTATACGCCACGCGGCCGTGTGGGCCACTATAAATTAAATATGGCGTAGGAATGAGGAACACGTGAGAATGGGAGAGCGCTGTGGAGAAGGGAGGGAAGGGGAGAAGGGAGAAGCTGGTGCGAGACAGGAGGAAGGGGAGAGGGAGAAGGTGGGAGGAAGGAGGAAGCGCGAGAAGGCTGGCTGGAAAAGGAGGGAAGGGGAGGAGGAAGCAGAACAAGGTGGGTAGAGAAGGTAGGAGCGAGGAGAAGCTGGTGGATGAAGGACGAGGGGAGAAGGGGAGAAGGTGTTCGCGAAGACAAGGAGGGGGAGAAGAGAGGCTAGTGGGAGAAGGAGGGAGGGAAGCTGGTGGCAGAAGTGTCCAGGAGGGGCGAGAAGGGGAAGTGTGTGGAGGAGGGGAGAAGTGGCTGGTGCGCAAGGAGGAGGGCGAGAAGCTGGTTTGGAGAAGGAGGAAAGTAGGAAGGAGGCGGAGAGGCGTGGTGGAGTGAGCCGGAGGGCGAAGAAGGGAGAAGCCTGGGGTGAGAGAAGGAGGAGGGGGAGATAGGGACGACAGGCTGGTGCGGAGAAGGATGTGAGGGGAGAAGCTGGTGAGAAGGAGGATGGGGGGAGAAGGTGAGAATGGTGGGTGAGGAGGGGGAGAGCTTGGTGGGAAAAGCGAGAAAGGAGAGGAGGGGAGGAAAACTGGTGGACGAATAGGAGGAAGGGGGAGAAGAGAAGGGAAGGTGCGTGGAGATAGGAGGCTGGACGAGAAGCTGGTGGAGAAGCCGAGGAGGGGAAAAGCTGGTGGAGAAGGAGAGAGGGAGAAGGGAGGCTGTGTGAGGAGGAGCGGAGAAGTGGTGGCGAGGAGCTGGAGGTAATCAGCTGGTGGGAAGGAGGAAGGGGAGAAGCGAGGGGAGAAGCGAAGATGGTTGGAGGAGGGGGGAGAAGGGAGAAGCTCGGTGAGAAGGGAGACGGGAAGAAGTGCTTTGTCTAGCTTACTCCTTCTGCCACCAGCTTCTGCCCTCCTTCTTCCATCAGCTTCTCCCTTCTTCCCCCTCCTTCTCTACCAGCTTCTCCCCTCCTTCTCCCCTTCTACTTCCCCTACGTCCATCACCTTCTCCCTCCCCTTCTCCTCCTCTCCTCCTCCCCCCCTACTTCCATTCACCTTCTCTCTCTCTCCTCCTCCTCCCCCTACTCCATCACCGATCCTCCCCTCCTTTCTCCTTCTCCTCCCTCCTCCATCACCTTCTCTCCCTCCTCCTCCCCTTCTCCTACCCTTTCTCCCTTCCTTCCTTCTCCTCTCCCCTACTCCATCACCTTCTCCCCTCCTTCTTTCCTCCCCCCACATACTCCATCACCTTCTCCCCTCCTCTCTTCTCCTCATCCTCTCCCGCCTACTCCATGCACCTTTCTCTTCCTTCCTCTCCTCACTGCTCCTCCTCCCCTACTCCATCACCTTATCTCCCCTACTTCCATCCTTCTCCTGCCCTCCTCCATCAC